TTTATAACTCACTAATTTAAGACAAAGTGTCATTTATAAGAATTTAACCAAAAATGTGCATTTATAACTCACCTAATTTAAGACAAAGTGTCATTTATAAGAATTTAACCAAAAATGTGCATTTATAACTCACCTAATTTAAGACAAAGTGTCATTTATAAGAATTTAACCAAAAATGTGCATTTATAACTCACCTAATTTAAGACCAAGTGTCATTTATAAAGATTTAACCAAAAATGTGCATTTATACCTCACCTAATTTAAGACAAAGTGTCATTTATAAAGATTTAACCAAAAATGTGCATTTATAGCTCACCTAATTTAAGACAAAGTGTCATTTATAAAGATTTAACCAAAAATGTGCATTTATAGCTCACCTAATTTAAGACAAAGTGTCATTTATAAAGATTTAACCAAAAATGTGCATTTATAGCTCACCTAATTTAAGACAAAGTGTCATTTATAAAGATTTAACCAAAAATGTGCATTTATAGCTCACCTAATTTCTTCAGCAATATTCTGTTGTGCCTCAGCATCAAAAGGATCTGCATTCATAAGTCGTATTCTCTCCATCTCACGCTCTGCCCTCTCATTTTGTTGTTTCTTTAACACATCAGTAAATTTCTCTATAATATAATAATATATGAAAAGAAACTAAGCAAAGAAGGTAGTATTCACAAAATAAAAACTTTTTCTGACACACCAAAATGTGAAAATGGAAACCCCTTATATCAAACAGAAGCCCTACTCAGAATATGTATTAGAAACACCACGAGAAAGTACCAGCTTACAGTAATAAACCCACTGTTTTGAACCAGCCCAAGAGCAATTATAAAACTGTGGATTTATAATCTTGAAACCTACACCTTTGAGTGAGTTTTTCGGCCTTGTACCTCCATTCATTGATGTGGATTCGAACCCCTTCCTTGACGAATTTTTTTTAATCATTTTACGCAGTTTAACGCCTGACATTTTAGTTCATTTTGAGTTGACGCATATTGGGTGTGTTCGTCGGCGGGGAAATCCTAATTCAAATGATTCCTCACTGTTGAATTTTATTTTTTGCAGGGGATATCTAGGCATAGGCCCAGCCCTATTTTTTTGTCAATTTTACATGTTCAGAACCCTGGGCGCTTACCCGGATAAATATGGTAAATGTTTTGTGACAACACTGGAAATCAATTGTCTTTATCATTCATATTTGAAGATAAATATAGCTGCTGTTGAACAAACATACCAAAAGGAATAACTGTAACTCAGAGAGATCTGTCAAAATATAATGAAAGACATACTTATATCTCCTGTCAGTAATGCTTCAGCAAGAGGTGGGTTCCTTTCTTTTAATAGCGCCAACTGATGTGGGTTCGCTAACAGCATCTCACGTAGCTTAACTGGATCATCGTTTCTCTGAGGTTCTTGTGGTCTTGATGCTCCACTAGAAGGACCAGGAACCTGGATACCACTAAAGTCTATCTGTGGCATGCCTGTAAATGAAGGAGGAAAGTGTAGATGGGAGATGGTGGCTAAATCATCTGAGTT